AGGAGGAGGGAGGGAAGAAGGGAGGGAGAGGAGAGAGAGAGAGAGAGAGAGGGAGAAGGAGGAGGAGGAGGAAGAGGAGGAGGAGGAGAAAGGAGGGAAGGAAGGAAGGAAGGAAGGAAGGAAGGAAGGAAGGAAGGAAGGAAGGAAGGAAGGAAGGAAAAAAGAAACAAAGAAAGAGAGAGAGAGAGAGAAAATAACAACTTCATGTAGTTTAATATAGCACTTTTAAGAAGGGGTTTGGAGGTGAGTGGGTCAGAGTTTGAATCTTACATTAGATCTAAGAAGATAATGATAGTTTATTACCATAGCCATAGAAGAATTATTCTAGTTATTATAAACTCAAATTTATACATTAAATTTATCTTATAATCCTGAAGTCTATTTCCAGCATAAAAATTTACTGTAGACTCAACATAAATATTATAATGAAATCAAAAATAAAAATACTGAGACAAGTTATCTAAAAAATGTTAAACAACAACATTTTTTCAAATGTATGTGCTTGTGTATGTATAATGTGTGTGTGTGTGCGTGTGTGTGTGTGTGTGTGTGTGTGTGTGTGTAACTCATTTTGCAAAGTCTAAAAGTTAATATCAGGCCACAATCACCCTCCACATTATCTTTTTTAAATATTTTGAGATTTCATTATTTTTATTAGTCTCATTGTTTGCTTGCCTGAATATATGTCTGTGCACAATATATGTGCAGTGTTCACTGAGGGCATAAGAAGGCATTAGATCCCCTGAGACTGTTGTTGGCTACTATGTGGGTGCTGGGAGTTGAACCCATGTTCTCCTCTGAGAGATCAGTTAGTGTTCTTAACTACTTTGCCACCTCTCCAGCCTTTTAACCTTATTTCTTGAGATAGGTGATTCTCTCAGCACATGAAGCTCACCATTTTGGCTAGTCACTGACCAGCAAGCCCCCAATCAATATCAGAATTGTGGTTAGAGGCACATGACTACATCTGACTTTCCTGTGATGTCTTTAAGTTTATGCCACAAGTAGTTTACCCTGTGAGCATCTGTCCACCCCGCAGGTCTTTTTTTTTTCACTCTTATTTTGATGGCTTACACTCAACCAATGAAGCATCATAATTCAACATTCCAATAGGGTCCCAGTGAACAGAGTAGTCTTCATAGCATCTCCCATTCATGAAATGACACTTACTATCCATAGAGATGAGTTTCCAGCTGCCTTCGACAGTGGAAATGGACCTGCTGCTTGGTCACTTCTATTGTCAAAGCTCCTTCCTCAACAACAGCTTAATATCTGCAAAGTAAATGGTGCCAAAGTCACAGGAAAAAAAGATAAAATGATTAATATAGAATAAAAATTGCCTTTGATTCCAAACTACTATATTTTGATAATTTTTTTAAATCACAGAAATGTTTAAAAATTGTCTTATACATGAAATTTTACACTTGTGTTTACTCTGGTACATTTATTATACTCTAAGATATCATTGATGCAAATATAGAATAATCAACCCTAACCTCTAACCCCAATTGAAAATTCTCTCAGCTGTCTTAAAAGGAAAGCTTGTTTCTGACATGTAGAATCAGATGTGTCTAATGATGATGCTCAAAGCATGGGCACATGCCAGCTTCACATCCCTCGTCACCAATAGCAATAACTGGGGAAATTACAGAATATTTTTGTTAATGTTAGCAATATTCTCAGTAGCATTAAATGCAATATTACTACAGCCAAAATTACTTTGACATTTCCCAGAATTCTGAAAAATATTCCGACTTTTCATGCAGAAAAAAAAAATACTTTGTTAGCTACTGTACTCTCTTTAGTAGAGAAGTGTAATAAAGTGCTTCTACCAATTCTTGAAATAGAATTTTTCTGGTTTCTAGTTCATGAGGGTTCGGAGAGGAGTAGACAACACTAAAAAACATTATGAGTAGAATTAATGTTATGCCTCTATATTATAAAAAGAATAAAATCCTTCAGAAGCAGCTAACAAATATAACTCAAAATACCAGTCCTAGGAACACAGTGGTCCTTAAGCTACACAGTTTCAGGACAAAAGCAGCATCAATATTGTTGAAACAATTGTTTCAGAAAAAAATTTTAAAGATCAGATGAACAAATCCCAAGTTTCTGCCATTAGTAACTAATGAAATAGAATATACTGTCATGGGGACTGAGTGTATGTGTTCTGAAACGTTTGAAGTAGTTGGCATTTGTAGAAAGCCAATGTGATTCTATGTACTTTATAATGTAATCGCATAGGCGAACATTAGAAAGACAGGCCTTTAATCAAAAGCCTGTGACTCTTAGGAAAACCTACGGCGAGGGTGTGGAGAAAGAGGAACACTCCTCCATTGTTGGTGGGACTGCAAGATGGTGCAACCACTTTGGAAATCAGTCTGGCGGTTCCTCAGAAAATTGGACATAGCATTACCCGAGGATCCAGCTATACCACTCCTAGGCATATACCCAGAAGGTGCTCGAACATATAATAAGGACATATGCTCAACTATGTTCATAGCAGCCTTACTTATAATAGCCAGGAGCTGGAAAGAACCCAGATGTCCTTCAACTGAGGAATGGATTAAAAAACTGTGGTATATTTACACAATGGAGTATTACTCAGCTATTAAAAACAATGAATTTGAGAGGTTCCTAGGTAAATGGATGGAACTAGAAATTATCATACTGAGTGAGGTAAGCCAATCACAAAAGAACACACATGGTATTCACTCACTGATTATTGGATATTAGCCCAGAACCTTAAAATGCCCAAGATGCAACTCACAGGCCACATGAAGTCCATAAAGAATGAAGACCAAGTGGGGGTGATTCGGTCCTTCTTAGAAGGAGCAACAAAATACTCAAGGGAGCAAATATGGAGACAAAGCGAGGGACAAAAACTGAAGGAGGGGCTGTCTGAAGACCTTTCCACCTGAGTATCCATCCCATGTGCAGTCACCAAAGGTAGATGCTGATGTGGAAGTCAGGAAGTGCATGCTGATAAGAGCCTGATATGGATGTCTCCTCAGAGGTCTTCAAGAATCTGACATATTCAGAGGCAGATGCTCACAACTAGCCATTGAAGTGATCATGGGGTTCTCAATGGAGGAGTTAGAGTGAAGACTGAAGGAGCTGAAAGGATTTGTGGCCCCATGAGGAGAGCAACAATACCAACCAACCACAGCTCCCAGGGTCTAAACCACCAGCCTGGGAGCACTTATGGAGGGATCCAGGGCCTTAGCTGAATATATAAGAGTGGAGGGCCCTGCTGGGCACAGGTGGAAGATGAGATCCTTGACCTCATGAAGGCTGGACGCCCCAGGGGGTGGGAGCTTTGAGGGTGGGGAGGTGGGAGTGGGGGGGTAGATAGAGGTTACATCCACAAAGAAGAAGGAGGAGGTGTGAGGGGATTGGGGGTTCCTGGGTGGGTGGGGGATGGGGTAAGGGGACAACATATGAAATGTAAATAAAACATCCAATAAAAAAATTAAAAAAAAAATGGCTAGAAATCAGTAAAATTGTTTTTTTTAACATCAAAATAATTTTCTCTCAGCTATGTGTAGCTACTTACAAAAATAAAAGGCTAAACTATAGCCAAGCTCCTCAGCTAGAGCAAGTAGAGTTCAGTGGAAGAGTAGAGCATCATACTAGATCACAGCAAGGCCATACATGAAGCCTGGGGTTCCTCTTGCAGGCACAGATGAAGGGCATCCATCAGGACTGTTGAAACCATCTGCAGCAGCCCGTGACGCCGTTCCATGGCCACCTGGAAACAAATAAACCCTGTTAGTTTTAAAGTACTGTAAAAGCATGGTCAGTCATAATTGCGCGTTTAAAAGTATTTTGGGCATATTCTCTTTATCAACAAAGTCTTCACAGTAGCCCTCTATCATCCTTCAAATCGCTGAAACTGGGAGTTCTCTCTGAGGTTACAGACTCTGAAGATGGTTTTTAATTTTGATTTCCAATTTCTACAGTATCTGACTGAGCACTGAACAAAAGTCTATATTACCAAAATACATTATATACATGTATATATGTATGAAATTATTTAATAATAAATTAAACATGTTATCTTTTAGTGTGGTAAAATGAAAGTCTAGTAGAAATGAAAAATATAAAAACTGGCCTCTAGATTATTCTACAATCAGTTCTAAGATACATTTTATATATAATGCTACAGACACTAAAAGAAAAAAATTCTGGTTTATGATAAATGCTTCAGGAGAACAATATTATTTGAGATGAATATTAAGAAAGTACTTGCTGACATTCTGGAGAGCAGGCCCTGTACCTTGCCTGGGTAGCACAGTAGAGCTGACCCTGGTATGAGGAGAGCAAGAAAGCTGGCCCCACCAGTTGTCTGCTATGCAGTGACACAGGCAAGAGAGATATCTTCCCTCATGCCCCTTGCCACCTACAGCAGGCAGGAGAGCTGGCCATGCCCCTCACCTACTGCAGCACTCTGGAAAATGAGTCCCATAACTTGTCTGTCATGTAGTGGCATGGGTGAAGGAGAGATGCCCTCCACAACCCTCACCCCTTGCCACCTACAGCAAGCAGGACAGCTGGTCCTTGGATCGTGAGAGCAGAAGAACAGGTCCTGCACCTTACCTGGGCAAGAGGATAGAGTTAGCCCTTGTTGCCAGGGTTGAAGATGAGCAGAGCCTGCTACAGCACTTGGAAAAACAGGCACCTCACCTGAGCAGCACAATAGAGTTGTCCCTGACAGAGAGGAGTGTAGATGAGCCATCCCTGAGTGCATGAAAGCTGAAGAGCTGGCACTGCCCCTTGCTGACTGTAACATTGGATGGGCCAGCCAGGATAAGGCAGGAGAGCTCACCTCAGTGTGGTATGTTCAAGACAGCTAGCAGGTTCACAAACTTAGATACCTCTCAAGCCCAGATCCAGGGCTTTGAATTGGCCCACCCCAACACCTACCACATCAGTGAACTGCTGGAGCTGTGAACAGGGTGGTCCTACAGATCTTAAACTACAGAATCTCCATGACACAGGGCAAAAACAGGGAATGCAAGAGGAGTTCCAGTGAGGTTCCAGTGTTGATGGCAGAAGTCAGAGAACTCATACTAGACCAAGGAGTCATTGCAATGAGCATTGGCAAGCAAAGAAGTCCAGGCAAACGGGTGACAGACTACAGCTTCCACAAGATTTCTTTTCTCTGTAGGTGGAGAGGTTTCAAGGGTGGAGAGCAGGTACAGGGAGGGGAGATGAGCGGGACTGGAATGCATGATGTGAAATTCATGAAGAATCAATAAAAAGTTGAAAGGAAGGAAGGAAGGAAGGACGGACAAACTAGCTGGAAAGAGAAATAAGTAAGACAAAAGGCTTTCTTAGTGAAGGAAGGAAGGGGTGAAGGTGAGTCAGTGAAAAAGACTACACAGTGTTCTGAAAACATCAGGTAGCTTTTGGGAATGTAGAAGATGAAATAAGAAAGACATGAGGATTGCAGAAATGCCCAACAGACCAAAAGGTTAGAATGCTTTCCTCATCAATAAGTTGAGCCAGGAGTGCAATGTGAGCATTAAAAACATCTTGGCAAGAGCCTGCATGTAGGAGGGATGAGAATGATGACAAGGACTTCAGCCACACAGGACAAGGCTGATTCTGCCAACTGATGCTTGGAATACAGTAATCCAACTCATCATCAATGACCATCAAGCTAATTACCAATGGGTCTCATATTTAGAATACTACGGAATCTGACTTATTTTAGAAAATTGTGTGTGACATAAACTTCAATGAAAAATATGTCAAGAACTTAACCAGTATTATATGATGATTCAGAAATACTAATAATGCCTAAGTCTGAGTGTTAGAGCTGTGTTGTTCCTTGCTGGTTAGAGAGATATAGTAGAAATCCTAAATGCGGGAGTTATACGGTAAATGTACCAATTGGACCTAAGTGCCACAACTCTGTATTTTGATTACTTGTGCTTTCTGTAATGATCTCTGTCTGTCACAAAGAGAAGTTTCCTTGATGAGGGGTGAGACCTACACTTATCTGTGGGTAAAAGGACAAATATTTATAAAGCAGTTAGTGATAATGCTGGTTTAGTAAAACGGCAGTTGAGGATTCTCCTCCAAGACTCATGGTTTCACTAGCTCTGGGTAGCTGTTTAGGTTTCCCGCTTATTGAGTGGGTCTTAGGTCCAATTAGAGAGCTGCTGCTTACCAACAAGGTATGTGTGTTACTACTGTACCCTTAGGGTATGCACACCATTATGGTCATTGTTACAGTGCACAAGATGCACAGCTGGGTCTGGACAGGACAGTTGGTTCTTTCCTCCTTTGGAAGCATGTATGGCACCTTCTGATACTATGAAAGCTAGTCCTCAGGAAAGAGATTTCCAGGTTGCATGCAACTTGAATCCTCTGGTCCTGTGTCTGAAATGCTTGACGTCTTCAGCAATGGGTACTTACTTTCTGTCTTTGGGGTTAACCAAGGACAACAGAAATAACCCAAAATGTTTTGGAAGTCTCTTGGACAACAGCAGCCAAGAATTCAAAAATGGATTCTCATACCTGGTGTTAGGGCTTTGGTGAGTCTATGGCTCTTGGGGGAATTGTCAGTCCAGATGGAAAATCTTCCTTTAAATTATGTTTGTATATTTTTTGTAAGAATAAACAAGTCCTGTCTCAAAAACAAATATTTATACATGACTCATGTATTAGCATATACTCATAATTACCCCAATATTTTGATAAACTTCAAACTTATATATAAAACCACTATTAAAGAACTTTCAAGGGCTGGAGAGATGGCTCAGCGGTTAAGAGCACTGACTGTTCTTCCAGTGGTCCTGAGTTCAAATCCCAGCAACCACATGGTGGCTCACAACCATCCGTAATGAGATTGGATGCCCTCTTCTGGTGTGTCTGAAGACAGCTACAGTGTACTCATAAATAAAATAAATAAATAAATAATAAAAAAAAAGAACTTTCAAATATACTACCTCAGAAACATTATCTATTGTTTTTTTTGTTTTTGTTTTTGTTTTTGTTTTTGTTTTTGTTTTTTTTATTTATTTATTTTTTATTTATTTTTTAATTTCTTTTTTTTTTGAACATGAAATGCTTTTTTATAGCATGTTTTACAAGGGGAGGGGGTAAGAGGGTCCAGGTGGTGGAAAAGTACAAAATCTTCTTGGCCTGTGCCTTGAAACATGTCATGATCTATATGGTACACTGCCTTGAATTATGATCTACCTGCAGTTCTTCAGAAGATATGGTACACTGCTTGAGTTATGGTCTCCCTGCTATTCTTAAGAAGACATGGTACTCTGCTTTGAGTCTATCTGCAGTTGCTAAGCAGGATCTTGCAGCTGCCAAGCTTCAGAGGACATTATGCAGGTGGGGAAAGGTAGGGGGTAAGGGTAAGGGCGAGGGTCCTGGCTTCTGGCATCTCCCCCTTCTCTGTTTAGTTAGAGAAGGCGTCTTATGTTCAATCCCAACTATGTGAGTTTTGAATTTGGATGTCTAATTATGGGGGGTCTTAGACAAGTTCACAACCCCAAAACACTGATGTGAGACAAGTCACATCGATGGTCGAAGGCTTTAGGCTGTCGACGATGGGCAAAGTCAAGGGACTCTGATGTGGGTGAAAGGAGGGTGAGAGCCCTGTCTTAGGCCATGTAGGCTGCATCCACTCCCAGCACCACGCACTCCTTTTCGGCTGCATTGGGTGGGCCCCTGGGAAGTGGACCTACAATAATCCCGTCATTGGGCTAACTCACAGCCATCCTAGTCTCTTGTATATGTTCAAGTTACCAACCATTTGTCAGTTTGGGGTGTAATATTGTCATAAAGGAAGGCTCCCCAATGTTAGCGGCCATATCAAGGGTGGCCTTGGTTTAGGAAAAAGCCAATTTTTGTTGTGGTGATCAAGAGGCCAAGCTCTCTAGCGAGAGAAATGAGGGCAAAGCCAGGCATACCAGGAACCCTTCTGGAGGGCGTGGAAGTCTAGGGGTCGACCGTAGGGGGAGGCAGGGGAGCTGACAGCTGTGTCAGTCTCCTGCGGAGTCACTTCTGGATCCTCTGCAATTTTCAGCTGATGGTAATGAACTTCAACTGCCTTCTTGATGGCAGCATCAACCCAGTTCCGTGGACGACAGGTCACGGGCGATGATCTCTGTCTAGCTCAATCTTGATGTCATGCTCACATCCTCTCAATGAGGGTCCGTCCGGATGGGTCCATGCCTCGAGCCCCTCATCTGGGTGCCACTTGACCCGACCGGCGGGTCCTGGTTATTCGTGGGGGCGAGGAGGACTGCAACCTGCTATTCTTCAGAAGATATGGTACACTGCTTGAGTTATGGTCTCCCTGCTATTCTTCAGATGATATGGTACACTGCTTTGAGTCTATCTGCAGTTGCCAAGCAGGATCTTGCAGTTGCCCAGCTTCAGGGGACCTTGTGCAGGTGGGAAAAGGTAGGGGGTGAGGGTAAGGGCGAGGCTCCTGGCTTCTGGTCCATCTGGGTTAGAACTTCTAATAGCAGGCATCACGGGTGATTCAATTTTACCTGGAAAGAAAAAAGAAGGGGATTCTCAGGGAGATTTCTCTTCCCTGGATGTAAATTGTTATTCATCGTATTTATGATTGGGCCTGGCTTTGTGAGGGTATCTATTTTTTTCATTAATATTTGTGGTAGCCGGTTAGCTGTGCCTTCTGTGGTATTGGGCAGGCATATCAGTCCTCGGCTCCATAAGGGAACTGGGACTGGGGCATTCCCTTTATGGGTATGAGGGTCCTTCCCCATATCTGTGGCAAAGTTTTGTTGGTCTTGGTGGTGCCCGAGGTCACCAACATGTTCAGCAAGAGATTTGCCATGAGCTTTCAGCTTTAGAGAGAGAAAAGTGAACAAGGCATGATGGAGAGTATTTCAGGGGGACTCCTTCTGAGGGGGTACCGTTCCCCCTCTTTTGTTTTTAAAGCCAATTTTTCAGAGTTCTTGTA